GTAATGTAAAGATTTCGGTTACCAGATAGTAATGCATCTCATACATCTTACGCTATTTTAAATGATAACGGTAGCGTAGAGTGTCCCCTACAAAGCTACGCAAGCCCCCCTCTCTATCTATCATGGCAGAAGTTTTACTGGAACCTACCTAACTCTGTTTTGTTAGACTGAGTGACATGGAAAATAATTGCAAACATAGGTTTTTGCCTACGCTGATTCTTGTGGCAATATTTTTTATCCATTTGGGAGACTTTTCCTACTCGACAACTCGAAAAAGTTGACGTGTGTGACTTCAAAAAAACAAAATATCTGCTAAACGCGAAAAATGTGTATATTTAACAAAAAGTAACCAAAAACAAGAAAGATCATATGCCGAATTTTTCTTAACTATTGTTATTCGTTATATAAAACAAAAATAAAGAAATCTGTAATGATTAATCTAACATATGGCTAAAACGTGCGAACAAGATCATTTACAAATAGTTTAAAGGAAAGAAAGTCATATATATATTTTTCAGCTGCATTTTTAACGAACATAAAACATAAAATGATGCCATAAGGCCGTGAATATTCGCAAGAAGAGAAACAAATAATGTTTCGCGTAATAAATTTTGTAAAAAGCTCATATATACACTAAAACATCGACGAAAAGTTTTAACCTTTTCCGTTGCATCAGATTACCAAAACATAGAGAGTTGTTACAACAGATGAATCGCTATATCAAATATGAATTCAGAGCAATTAATAAAGTTCAATGGGAAAAATTTTATCTTCACCTGGAGTCTTTAAACATCAGTACTTTCTGGAACAAAATGAAAAGATTGTCTAAAAAATGAACACCGTCAATTCAAGGATTTATAAATGATGAACAGAAAGCTATAATACAAGCCGATACCATGATTTAACATGCGCAGAAGTATTACTTCAATTCATTTAAAAAACATGATGATGATGATAAGGAGGTAGATTATGTTACCAAAGATCTCTCCAATCAATTGAAACCGTTCTTGTTTAAAATAAACGATCTGACGAGAGCCATAAGTAGTCTCAAAATAAAAAATTCTTCTGCACATGATAAAGTTAGTAACACAAGCTGATTAAGCAGATTCCAAAATCACATCATTCATTCTTATTAACAATATTCAATAAATTATTTGTTAAAAATGGATATTTTCTACACTGAAAACAGATTGAAATGGTCTTATTACCGAAAAGAGAAAACTACCGTCATCTGTGTGACACAAACCCTAAAAAAACTAAAACTAGAAATTGTTTATCCATGTGCAAAATCATACCTCGGCTCGGCTTTAAGCAAATTTCATTAATCAAAAGCCATTTCTTGTTTATTTTCCATTTGTTTATTTTTAAATGTTTTTCTTTGTGTTATTGTAAACAAAACGTGAACACTAACACAGACAAGAGCCAAAAACATAGAAAAAAATAAACGAAACTTAGCACGGAGCTCGTAGAAAAAGTAGAAGTGCAAGTACAAAATTATGTGTCAAAAGACTTGAAAACAGGAAAAACAAAATTTAACTTTTAAACAAAGATAATGACGATGATGACGTTCTAATTCATTTTTCATGTTTTCAAATATAAAAACACCGTTTCAGTTGTTCTTGTGTCGAAAAACAAAAAAAAAGCGAAGACAGAAAAACAATAATAATTGTTTAAAAAACAACAAAACAAAATGAAAAAGAAAAACAAGTTGACAAATACACAATTGTTGTTGCTATTTTCTGCGTTTAATGAACGAAACAAGTTATTATTATCTATCGACTTCGCCATAATACTAACACATCTATCACTCTTTTGATGCTTTGTCAAAATCTTCAACCAAGTCTAAAAGAATAAAAGAGCAATAGACAAATTCCTTCAAATAAAACATAACAATGAATTGGCATTAAACTATAATCCAATGCACTCTTATGAAAAGATTCCTTTAACAAAGCAAGAGATATGAACAAATGTGCTCCTGGTATACTTATCCTACATCTCCGACTGTTAGTCATATCAAGAACTTTTCTGAACCTTTTTATCACTTTACAGGACTGTTGACAGAAGAATTTTCCATTTAGCTCTTATTAATCTTTGATTAGATTATCTTGTTTCCATTCTGAAGAAGGTAATTGGCACGTGTTACATCTTTCAAATCCGTGTACAATAGCGCAGTAAATGCTGAACAGCAGAAGTCGTTTGTCCTGTAGTAGAGAACTATTTACCGGGAACGTCTTCATCGTCTTCTTGTCCGTCTCCGGTTGCCGTTGCACCATTTCCTCCTGCTATATTACCAGACTCTGTTTTATTATCACCCGCTAATCTTTGTGGAAGTTTCATTTTATTTCCTGCATTCCATATATTATCAGCACCCAATTGTGAAATAATACTTGGTAACATTTCTGTCAATGCTAAATGGAAAAATTAACAACAAATTCAGTGTCATGTAATATGATCAATGAAAAACAAACTTACATTTTGTATCCGATTGACCACTAATAGCAAATGTGTTTGATGATAATGATGCTTGAACTTTGGGATTAGAAAAATGTATCACTTCTCCATTATCTTTGAACATGTTAACCTAAATAGAAGCATAGTTGAAAGTTGTTCGTTCGTATCAACACTCACTACGCATCATTTACCTCTTCAATTCCTTGAATATTATTTGCAGCCAACTTTTTTAATGATCCTTGTAATTTTTTATCATCAGCATTTGGTGGACGATGAATTATTTTCTTTTTTCGTCTTACTGTACCCTAGAAATATATTATAAAACAAGTTTATCTGAGTATGTATATAGAATCACAATGAACTTTTACCTTGCCACCAATTTTGATCGCATTTGCATTTTCAGCTAATTTTTTCAATTTTTTTTCTTTGTTTAACTGAAAATCAGTCAATGTTGTTGTTTTATCGTCCATTTTTTTGATAAAGTTGGTCAAAATAGAAATGAATACTATTCTAAAACATGTGCACACATGATGTGCACAAAGTACGTTAGATTTCTTGTTGACTATTTGATCCGAAACTAAAATCTGATCTAAACTGGCGTTATAGACAAAGAAAGAAAGCAACTCTGAAGGAAATTTTAATTTATAAAATACCCTTTTAAAAGATGTTATCTCGCACTGGAATACTATAATGGAATATTTCCACTTGTATAAACAGAATAAAGCTTATATTAAGTTTTCCATTTTACAACAGTTCCAATAGAAGTTTCAGCCTAGAATACTGCAATCCAACAATAACATTAGTCTAACTCTGGGGTCGATCGGTTTAGGATCGACTTTTTGAGCGGGTCGCGTCGAATTATATGTTATTCAACTTTTCTAACTCTTATTTAAGCCATTAAACTACCCTCATAAAATTTTCATCTCTTGGAAAAAATAATAGAAACTTAACAACTAGAGATAGTAATGAACGGCGATGCCTGTATATAACATAAAAACCTATATTGAACAATTAAGTATTTGCAAAAAAATGATTCTATCGCATGGGGTCGGTTATTGATTGAAATTTTATCAGACAGGACGAGTTCGGATTATGTTTTCTTAATTCATGCAGAGATCTACTTCGTTGTAGATATTAAAACCACAGCAAAAGCTTCATAATCAGTTCGATATTTTATAGATGACTACGCTTAAGAGAGTACCGATGACCACAACCAGTTCTATCGTTACACAGTCGAAAAGAAGGAGAAGAGATGGTGATAATCTTCATACACACGACAAAGTGTCGTTTATAGAGTTATGCAACAAAATATTAAATCAAGTTTTTTTCGATATTGAGTTTCCAACCAGCTCGCGCATGTATAGAAAACAAACTAAAATTATTAAGCGCTCCCGCCATCCACTTTTTCATAGTTATGAAAGATAAAATATAAATAATAGATTTATTTATTTATATCTATTTTCTTGGCTTTCCAATCTCTCTCTGTTTTTAATATATAACTTCGTCGAAAGAAAATAATATTGAATCAAATCCGAACTAACAAATGGTAAATAAAAACCGTAGCTAATTTCAAAAGACGAAAAAAAAATCCCATGAGCAATAACAGCATTTAGCGCACATATTAGCAAAATACATCGACATATTTATAATGTACAGAAGAAGAAACATGAAAAAACACAAAATCAGTAGCACATTGCCGAAAATGAATAATCACAAAAGAAAAAAAAACCACAGGAAACGAAACAAAATTTGATGATACATGAGTGGAAATAGGTACAATAAACTGGTCTCTGGTCATTGTTTTCTAGATATTCGACTAGAACACATGTGGAAAATAGGAAAAAAAATAGCAAAATTTTTGTTATTCTATACTTGAAAAGAACTATTAATGAAAAAAAATGAGTATCGCAAACGAAAAGAAAAAATAGACAATACACTTACTCACAGACGCAGAACAAGGCACTGAACGAGAAATAATAATTAATAAAAACACACAAAGGCCTCTTTACACTGTTTTTAATATATGCAACAATAAACAAAATAAGCTATTGAAAGAGCGTGGTATTTTATTATAAACATGGAATGAGGAAGAAGAAAAAACATCTAATCTAGGTATATGACCCGACAGAAGAATTGACTCGTTTCGTTTCGTTTATCGTCAGAAAAAAAAATTAACAACAAGAAAAAGATATAAAATTTAATCTAAACTTGATTATGCTCAACCCTGAATTAAATAAATAAATATTTGGACGGGAAATAACAAAGCGCCCGCATATCAAAACAAAACAAAAAAGATCAATGACGCAGAGAGATTATTATACAGTAAATTTTCCCATCGTATTTAGAACTTGCAAGAGAATCTGGCTATATCTGACTGGGATAGGCTATCTTAAATACGCTACTCCACTTAAATCGCAATATTCTATCGATGTTTTTCTCAAAGTATTCTCAAATAAAAAACATCAAATAAATCGGCGTATTGCGTGATTTTATTTGTTTTAAAACAAAACTGTAAGTATGTAGAATATATTGATAGCAATGGTATAATGCTAGGATCGTCTCGATGATAATTGTAACGCACGCTTAGCTTTACGCTTAAAAAAACAACATGTTGGCTCAGTCGCGATTGATGTTAGCATTTGTTGCACATCTTTACTGTTGTTGGTGTTATTATTATTATTATTATTACTATTATTATTATTATTATTGTTATTATTGTTATTGGTATTATTATTATTATTATTATTATTATTATTGTTGTTATTCGTATTGTGATTAAAATTTGACAAATGCGTGTAATAGAGTGGTGCTGTGGTTAATGATGGATGAGGCGGTGGTGGAATAACTCCTCGACGTTTAGTCGGTGGACCCAGAACAGGATTTGGTCGATTTTCTCTGGAGACGGAATAGGTGCTAGAAGACTGAAACTGTTGTTTTTGCTGTTGATTATAACTGGCGCTTGTTGTTGTTTGTGATAAAGTTGTTTTTGATCCTCCATTTAATGTGGCCGTTGTTGTATTTGTTGAACGTATGGGTAACATTGATGACTTATTCAAACCATTAGTTAATGGCATCATTGACGTTGAATTAGAATGATTATTATTATTATTGTTGGTTATCGAACCAACACTTATTGTATGCGCAGTTGTGGGTTTTTTCTTTGTATCAGCTAATTTTCCGGCAGCCAAGAACGAATGTGAATGATGATGATTACGGTTAGCATTGTTTGTGGTATTATTATGATTGTTTTTATTTATTTGAGAAATGACAGTATTGGCTGGACCAGGTTGTGTGGGAGTTGTTGTTGTTACAGCACGATTTGTGGTTGGTGGATTTGTTGTGGTACCTCCTTTATTACGGTTCAAACGATGTTCTTGTAAACAGCGTACCCAATCAAACTCGTTGTCATTTACGAAGTTATTTTCGCTCAATACGTTACGAAATAAATTTCTCAAATGTTCATACTAGAAGAAAATAAAAGAAAGAATGAAAATAAGATATTACATCACTCAATTATAAACTATACGTACATTTGGAGTATCAAAGAATTTTAAGTCACGAACATAGCGTAAATATATTGCGAACTGACGTGCATAACCCTCACACAATACTTCAATTGATGTAAGACGTTTCGTATCACCAATTTTCTGATAACGTTCTTTTAATGTATCAGCTTTTAACCCTTGCCAAGGGAGACTTCCACGAAGAAAATACATAAACATATAGCCTAATGCTTCGAGATCATCACGCCGACTCTGTTCTAAACAGAAAACAAATGCAATATGCCGTTATGAGATCGTAATGAGAAGAATAAATCAAGACGACTGTTGCATCAGCTACATCGCATATATAATCACTAAAAATCTGTCAAGTACTTGAAACTTCAATTAAAAATAATTTACCTCTTTTATGGGTGAGCTTTCATGTCGTCAGTGATGTATTTTGTCATCAGTAACAAAACAGATAAAAGGTGTTGTAAAACATCATTCGACATTATTTTTCAAGAGTACTACGCGCTTATATTAAGCAGTAATTTAAGACACTTTTAACACATTCCACAGACTGGCATAGCTGTGTATGGGTTTATTCGACTCTTACCTCGTCCTGCATGTGTATTAATAGACATATATCTTGCTGTGCCTAAATGCATAAAAACAAGCATTTATATTGAAGTAAAACATTTATCTATTTTCCATACCAGTTAAACTTTTATGTTCACGGTATGGTATATGTTCTTTTGTGACTGAATCGATATATTCTTTGGCTAATCCAAAATCAACCATATGGATAATATGAGTTCGATTCTAAAATAGTTAAAAGTCATGTGATTTATCTACGTTAGGATTGAGTAAAAAACACTGCTAGCAGCGGCCTTTTATCAACATTACTCACCGTGGATCCTCGTCCAATTAGGAAATTCTCTGGTTTGATATCACGATAAATCCTACAATATGAATAGAAAAATGAATAACAAGAGTGACTAATGCGTATGCATCGTGCAAGTGCGTTTGTGTTGAGTAAGTGATTGAAGACGAAGCAAAGATTTAGAGCAAACAACTGCTACTAGAAAGTTTTACAACGAATCCGTTTCTCTCATCATTTATCAATTCTTTTTCTATGCAACTACTTCCAATTTTCAGCCCAAGTAATATAACTACTCTTTAAAAAGAACACATTTTATTGTTCAAACAGTATTTACTGGTACACTTGCACATCTTCAATTCTGCATGAAACTGTTCTCGTCACATAACAAATCATATGCAGTACTTACAAATTCTTCGAATGTACATATTCAACTCGATCCAGCAACTGTAATGCAATCATTGCTACAGTTTTCAATGTAAACTCTCTTTTACATAAATCGAACAGGTCTTCTAATGACGGCCCTAATAATTCCATTACCAACGCGTTACAGGGACCCGCTTGACCATAATAATAAACACTTGGTATTCCGTCATGTTTTCCTAATACATTATAATATCTGTATTCATGCGCTAATTGTGGTGTACGTGTTGATGATTGCTCTAGTTTGATGGCGACATGTTCATGATTTTCTGTATTCCTGCCAAGATGAATTTCTCCTAAATAATTTTGACACGTAGCAAAAACAAAAAGAAAACGGTAGAAGACTTTTACCAAAATTGCCACTCCCTAGTATTCTTCCAATTTGATAATGTGAACCCAATGTTGTTGACGATCCTGTATTTTGTGTTGTGCTGCCTGTTCCTATGTGTGACGAGGTTGGTCCAAAATTAGGACGTATTTTTCGCACCTGTGAGTTTCCTGTACCTGAATTCGGCCCACCGCCACCGTTCATTGTACAAAAAATGATTAGAAAAGTAGAATCGCGGCCAAAAATTAAAGAAAACAAAACACTGATCTAATAATAAATTGTTTGTTAAGAAAAAAATTGAGCAAAGTAAAAGAACAAATAAATTAATTTAAATAACAAGGCCACCACCACAACAAAAATATCGATTCAGTTGATGATGGCTGTTGTTCTTGCTTTTTGCACATCGTAAAAAGTCTTATTCGAATCACTTCTTCATACTCTAAAGTAAGAATAAAAACAAAACACAGTAAAACGCAACTACACTGTAGCAAAGATGGTAAAGACAGACATAAAGAGACAACTGCTGGAACTATCATGATTTCTTCTATCATCTACACGAAAGCTGAGAATACTACGGGAAACCGGAGCGCATCATTCGTATAAACAATTGTCTGGTTGAGTTAGATGAAATGATGCAATAGAATGTACCGTTGTGCGTCTATATCCAGTTCTTGCCAGTGAAATTTCCTTTTTTTGCGAAATACTACGTGAACCAACAGATTTATCCGGAGTAAAAGAATATTGATAAACCTTGATGACTATTTCCTGGCAACCAGCAAAGAAAAATCATACTTAGACAGAACGTTTACTTTAATTCAAAGAAAATCCAACTTACAAACGGCTGACAATTGATCATTCGCATTACAAAATAGACGCAAAAAGAGCTTCCTCAACCAGCAGTGATTGTCGTCATGTACAGCCCGTGAAGAAAAACTAAAAAATCTCAACAGGTAATGGCAACTTCAAATATTCATTCTCTTTACTTTTCAGTTTTCGCGCCATATTAATTTAGATCAAAATACTGGCAGGGATCTTGCAGGGATGTCCTAGCATAAAGAAAGCTTCATACAATACCAATTGATCTTCGAAACTGTTCCCCAAAAAAAAGAGCAAGTAATTTTTATTTCAATAAAAACGGCTTCATCCGGGTAAGTCAACCACTTCACTAAGCCTTGTTCATAAAAGTTAAAAACCACCAATTCCAGCTAACAGTATGCACACAAGCATAAAAAAGGGAGCTTCATGTAATGTTTTCTTTCACATGTGTCTTTTACCTATTTCATTTTACGTTCACATGTGAATCCACAAAGAAAAAGAAAAACTTGAACATATAAAAACAGAATTTAACCTTTGTCTCTTTTTTCTTTGAATTAAACAGAATGCTCTCTTGGTAAGAAGCGTAATCTAATTGATGGCATGCTTTTTTGTAAATTTTTTTCTCTTATAGAAATGAGTTTTTTTTGAACAATTGACCACTTATACATACACACTCACATCAAACAGCGTTATGTAAAAAAATCTTTTCTCCCTTCTCTCCTATTCTTATCATTCGTACATGATTTATGATTATGAAGCATCCAAAAAAATTTTCGTCTTTTCTTCTTTTGCACGTATTTCAAGTTTTTTTTGTTCTCTAGAGTAATGTTGTATACTGTACGACGTATAACAAAAGACCCTAAAACCAACAAATAAATGTTTCAATGATTCCAACGTTTGACAAGGTTTAAATAGAAAGAAAAAACAAGTAAAATCGGCACTTTTATCTATTCAAGGAGAGAATAACTGAACAGTTTATAAATAACAAGGATGGCTAGGCTATTAAGTCATAGATTTAGGACAGTTTAAACAATTGGAAAATCTGTTGTGCTTTATAACCGTCAAAATAACAGGGATACAAGGATAAAAATTACTATTACCTTGCTTAGGTGAAAAGCAACAAAAAGAATTGTTATGCTACCAACAAACTGATAGAAACGAGTCTACTGCGTCGATTCGTGCTTTATTCAAGTATATAATACCATTACAGAAGTGTCATTAAACTCGGTTTCTACATTTGCATAGTCTGAGATAATCGAACAATAAGAGAACGCTGCTCTATTCGCTAACACTTTTTTTTAATACGAAGTTAGTGATCTGCTACTTATACCTTGAAGTTTTTGCCAGCACGTATCAACTTTTCGGGGAGCTAACGCAGAAAAGGTTCTTAATGTTTGCAGATCGTAGTAGAGCAAATAAGCACTTAAAAAAATACAACTATAGATGACGAAAACAATAGACCGAATTCTCAATGACTAGAGTCTCTACAGCAATTACTTACATATGACCGACTCCACAAACTTGTTCGGTCTACATCACGTGTATTGGTTTACTTACATAGTGTGAAGACTCGAAACTCCAAATCGCATTTTGCAAAGAAAACAAATATACGAAAATAATTCTCTTAATTTGAAATTTATTTGTGCAAAGGATCCGAGGGTATAATTAGATTGTAAAGTGATGATTCATTCGATGAACAGTTTCAGTTATATCATACTCGACGAAAATAATATTATATGAGAAGTCCTTTATCGAGAGCATCTGAAGAACTGTAAGATTAACAGTCGCTACTTTCAGCTTTCTTCGTTGAACAAGCTCATAAACGAACGACAACAGTTTTATACTAATTTTTCTATACATTTGGAAGGATTCACACGCAGTAGAGAACAGTTTATTGTTGTCATTCAACCGGAAGTACTTTGTCTACCTGTTTGATTCGACAAAAACCAATTGTATAACGTTTTTTTGCTCAAACTTATTTAATTAAAGATGTCTGATATTTGAAAGTTCCAGTACTATTAACAAATAACCAAACGAGAGAACATAGAGAAAACACAATATGAAGACATAATAACAACAAACGTTCAATATTTTACTAATTTTATCTAAAACAAAAATAAACAGTGAACTAAAATGATCAGAGTGTAGGATTCGAAGTATAAAAATACAACATAAAATGAACCTGATCATTTCTACAGCGTAAAGCCGTAATTTAGATCAATATTCTTAGTTTCTTTCAGTGCCATTTCGCTAGCAGAAATAGAATATACCCTCAATACGGCCACCTACTTCGATGCTGTTGTAGGCATTACCGATTAGTAAACACTGCATCTTCAGAGTATGTCCGAATAATACAAGTGCAGTGCTTCTGACTAAGCGTTCTATTCTAACGAATCTTAATCTAACCAGATTGAGAAAGGTTTGGAATGTGGATGTGAGAATAAAAGTCATTAGTTTCATTCGTTTGGTTATTGGTCCTCGATCAGCAAAATAATAAACAATGTTTCGAATAAGATTTGATGCAATATATATGCGTGCATTCAATTTTTTTCAAAGGGTATAAATACTGGGAAAAGTGTATGCCATATGAGGAGTAAAGCTTTAGTCCAGTATTTATCTAAACCCATGTAAAGACAAGAGGACGTTTCATCAATATTCTGCATTTCATGAGCTTAAGTGTAGGTTTAAGGTAACGCTCTTTGTTTCGTAGTATGTCGTTTTTGAGTACTAACTTGAGGCTCTTTGTACGTGCCTTAAGTTAAGTCATCCACTGAAGTCTTTTTAAATGACCTTTTTTGTGTTAAAAACAAAGTATGAACCCAAATTTCAAATGTAGACTAAGCCTAAGACTGTTTTATTCACGAAAAGTGAGAGTCATCAAAGATCCCCGACCTGTAATAACAATGACTCAAGCCAGACAACACCGAAAGAGTAGACCAAGTAACTGCGTCACGTGTATTCTGTATTTTTTCGTAATGTGTGCCTTCACTTTTCAAAACATTCCTCATATTTTGTTTACACCAGTCCACCATTAGAAATCCCCAAGAAAATTAAAGTGTTCTAACAAAAGTACAAGTGTTCTAACAAAAGTACAAGTATTCAAGACCAAGTAACTACATCACATTCTTAGCTTTGGCGCATTCTACTTTTCTTCAAAGTAATCCCTCTCGGTTTAGATGAAGCTGATGAGAAACCTCTACACTATCTACTTCAGTTCAAAATGGATAGAGAATAGGCGGGTGATTGCTACTGGTAGCAAAAATTGAAAACATGGCTATAATCAAAATCTTGCTTTCATTTTAATTTCAATCGTTATTGCGGGGTTTCGTATGACGCCATCTTTTTTCCAGTGAAGAATAAAGGCTACTTACCAATGAAATAATCATCCAATCACAGCCTCTTTATTTGCGTAATTTAATAATACTTGCGCCACCTATTTGGTGTAGCTCGTAGCTCTATAGAGCTACACCAAAACAAGAGAAATTGTTTAGTACGTCTAAATCGCGTTAGAAGGATGATTTTCCTGAGAATTTAGTTGCTGCTGCATTAGTTTCTTCTAGGTGTCAGTAACTCACGGATGGATCGATCATTGTGTCCGACAGTTATATCTGATATTCCAGCGATAATAATGATAAAATGGTTCCTTCACCGAGACTCAGAAAACGCAAATTGCAGGTTCTCCTCTGACTACTTGGTTATCGTTTAAAAATGATCGACTATGATATTCTTATTTATAATTCAATGCTCTTTCAAATGAAATATGTCTCGATTTTCGAGACAATCTGAAGAGTTGCTGAAAAGTGATTTTTCGTATTCATCACACTCGATAACCCAGAAGATTTTCTGTTTTTGGCTCGGGGTACTCCGAAAGTTCAAGAAAAAGTTTGAAACAAAATGGTGCAAAAGGTTTTCCATGGAAAAATAATATTAATTTGAAAACTTTTCCTAAACTTTCGGAAGTACCTCGGGCCAAAATCTTCGGGGTTATCGAGTGTGTTAAATACGAAAAACCACTTTTCACCAACTCTAAACCAACTTTATTTTTTTCCGGTGATATGGTGCTATTGGAAAAAATACTTTCAGAATGAAGCTGATTTTTTTATTTATATTATACGAAATAGATGTGTCTTAAGGGGGGGGGGCCCAAATATACCCTCAAATTTGGTCAGTTTGTAGAGAACATTTCCAAAGATCTGGGGTTACAATTTCTCGCGAATTGGATAACCTTTGGTGGAGTTATGAAACGTTCAAAACTACCAAAAGACGATTTTCCCCCGAAAATTTCTCGAGATCTTTAGAGGGTCCTGGTACCAAGTTGAATAAGCGTACCCGTAAAAGTTTCAAAATGTGCAGAGACATTATGAATTGTGAATATTAAAATTTCTTGTGGATTTTTTCGGCTGTCAGGAACTTAGCGTTTGCCTCATTCTTCAGTGAAAAGAGAATAACCAAATTATGTCCGGTGTTTTTAAGAGTTATGGATATTTGACTACATTATACACAGTATATCCGTCTAGCTTAAAGCTTCTAGAAAATGAAGTACAAAAAGAAGTTTGTGATAAAATTTAGAATTCGTACTTTCCTACATCTTTTGAGATTTTTAGAAGCCGACTCATGTTCATTTGTGTAAGTCAATGAACTAATTTCATTCGTTGTTACAACATATTCCAACTTCGTATCAATTTGTTGGTCACTACCCTAGTCGAGACTCCCGGCAAAACTCCCACAGGACTGCTGTCACGGGATCCTGCGGGATCCTGCAGGATCCTGTAGGAGTCAGGTGGGACTTTCAAGGGATTTCTCAGGACTCCTGAAGACTCCCGTGGGACTTCTGTGGAGGTTTCGAGTCCTGTCAGAATCCTCAAAGTCCCACGGGAGTCTTCAGGAGTCCTGAGAAATCCCTTGAAAGTCCCACCTGACTCCTACAGGATCCTCCAGGATCCCGCAGGACCCCGTGACAGTAGTCCCGTGGGAGTTTTGCCGGGAGTCTCGGCTAGGGTATTCACTATTAAACTTCCAAAACAACCATGAAAATCTGTATCAATAATCAGTTCGTTTAATTGTGCTCATAAAGCAATGAATTTGACAGTTACTGCTCTTATCCATTCATCAACATTTTCGGTTTTATTGCCATCAAATTTGGGAAAATCCTTCACAATTGCATCCAAAAGTAACTGGATGTAGTAGATTTTGCCACTTCTCAAATGCATACACTTAATAATATTACCAGTTTAATAGATCCGGCTAGTGCACCAATATGCCAGCCTGCCGTATTTTATTTGAGGAATCGTATCGAGTGAAATCGCAAAAAAGTACAATCAAAAAACTATCGAAATTAAACCAATATATAGTTAGCCAAACGATAGTGACTCAATGAAAGAATGTGGTAAGAATAAACAACAATGGGATGAAAAAGGAATGCTCAGGAATGAAACTGGAAACCCAAAACCTTCGGAAACCTTCCTGAAGATCCCCATATGATACCATTAGATTCTTTATGCTTGATTACCTCTACTTCAGGCTTTTTGGACTGAACACAACCAGTAACATAAGTGACTGATCCCTTCAATAAGTGTCTATCGCTTTTTGATTAGTGATAGGTAGTAACAGAAGCTCTTGTTGACTGGGGCAGATCATTAAAAGAAAAGCCTTATGGTTTAGTTTCAGGTGGATTGAAAAAAAATGTCTTAAAAACTCCACTGTGCTCATTCAAATTTGTACAGTTAACAACCCTGCCAAGTGCAATGGATAAAGTCAACAGCCTTAGCATTCATTTGGGCGTGGTGTCTGTTGTTTTTAAGTTATCAATACAAAAGAGATACAAAGTGCACTAAAAACGAGAAAAAACAGCAGACGCTCTAATACTATTTTCTAAAACAAAGTTCGATAAGATAAAAACGATAAACATTTGGATGACCGAACCATTTCAAATGTGTTTTAGTTATTTCTTATTGTGTTATGAATCCACGTAACATAGCGTGACACTCGAGTATTGAAATCATTCCTCTATAACGCAATTCAATTTAATAGTTCTAATGAGCCAGTATTCATTTTTATGTCCAATGCGTCATTTTTGAACAGATGGTAAACACCGTATGTCTTTTCCAGCGCACAACGAATACCCCACGATACAACACCGGCTAAAATTGGTCGACTACCGTTTTGTGACTGGTCATAACATGCCAAAGGACCACCAGAATCTCCTGAACATGCATCACTACCACCACTCCAAAACCCAGCACATATATGAAAATCTTTAATTCGTTTTGGACGATGACCACGAGCACTAAAACATAGAAATTAAGTTCTTTAAAAGGCATTATATAAAGAAGGAAAGATTGTGCGTACCACTCATCACGATCAACAAGCGGAACAGTTAAATATTTTAATATTGTACTATGTCGCGATTCTAAACGGATTCAAAGTATAGGACAAAAAATGATTAGACTAGGAAAAATACAGAAATAGTATATGATATACCTTTGATAACTCCGAAACCGCTAACTATACAACATTGTGAATTAAAACTATGCATGGGCTCCGGTAATGATATTGGTTGAACACGTTGTGTTAAACGAGCTGGCTTTTCTAATTTTAATAATATTAAATCATTATCATTTCGTGTAATATTTCCATCAGCAGGATCACCCCATGGATCATAACGAGGAAATGGATACCATGCAACAACGCGATAAACTTGAACATTTAGATCAGCTTTATCCAAATAATGTAAACCGAGTACGACAAAAAAGTTCTCGATAGATGTAAAACTATGTGAAAGAAAGAAACAATATCAGTACAGAATTAGCATAAATTTTCCTTTTTCTGCACTCACTATTTAAGACAGTGTGCAGCACTAATTACCCATTGTTGATGTATCAATGCACCACCGCAAAAGTGATCTCCATTAACATTGATTGAGACTTGCCATGGTATTTGTCCAGGCCACGCAATATTACCACCAATTATTCGACGTGTTCGACGAACATGTGGTTGCTGTTTTATTTCACAGGCTAACAAGAAAAAAGAGGCAATAAAATAGAATAATAACACATAGAAATTCATTGATAACATTGTTTGTGTTCATTTCAATCTGACTGATATGTATAAAACTATCAAAGATTATGTAACATCACTTTAGTTCTATCATCGTGTATCAAATACGACAAATAAAAGAATTACGTAAACGATATCAAAGCTGATCAAGTGAAAAGAAAAAACCGCCAAGCGCTTTAATTTAAGGAATAAGTGCGAATATTACATACTTGAAACTGATATGATCAGAACACCTAAAATAAACAATGATTTCTATTTACAGTCTCAGACTAACAAACAACATCTTACAGCAACAATAAAAAATGTTAAGCATATTTTAACATCGACTGTATTCTTTAAACTTTTTATCACAAATGATACACTTTTATTCTATTCTAGTTTCTGCTATTCTCACATTTCATCGACAATTGTTGTTTTGTGCGTTTGAAAATTCAAGACTCATTCTACAAGAAAGCTATGTGTGTAGAATCGAAAAATATATTTACTGAGGACTTTAAACTTCTTTTTCTAGGTAAAAGCTTTTTCATAATTTAAACAAAAATAGTTTAGTGGATTACAAATTGTTTTCTATATGCTTATTGGTTTTCTGGTTAGGTATGGTGTAATTTTTACACATAAATAATCGATAAAAAGCCATAGAAAATATCTCCAGGTCGAAAAATCCTATGACAGTATTCTATACCATTCTCGTAGAATGGTACAGAATAATGTTTCACATATACTAATATCAACAATAAATTAATAAGAAATGAAATGTTCATATTTATATGTAAACAAGAGTATAAAACAAACGATAATTTAAGAATTAACAACAACTTGGTTATAAAATTAAAAATCTTAATTCTAGTTTTTTCTTCTTTTAAGCAGTTGAATTTTTATTTAAAAAAAATACAGCAAATCGGACTTTCTCTCATTACATGCTGTAAATTCTACTTTTTCATTAAGATCTTGGTACAAATTCACTAGGAAAAATAAAGACGCAAGATCTAATGCATTAAG